CAGGTCATGATCTCATGGTTAGTGAGTTCAAGCACTGTCATCGCAGAGCCTGCTGGGGATTCTCTCTCTCTCTCTCTCTCTCTCTCTCTCTCTCTCAAAATAAATAAATAAACCTAAAAAAATGAAAAAAGATGATTCAATGTAAACCTTCAGACTATGAGGAAAGGTGGGAGAGATTGTATGGAACAGGAGACTGTAGGAGAAATTCCATGAGATTTTGTTTTGTTTCCTCTGTGTTCTGGAAACACTGAAGTTTCCATTTGGACACATTAACTTGTTAATGCCTGTGTGTCCATTAGGAATTTTACTTGAAACTCACCACTGCCACCCCATGGAAGTATGGCAAAGAACAGCAGTATGTTTGAAGTCAATATTTAATGTTGATCATCTAGTTGAGGGCTCCCAGTTTTTTTACCCCCAAAGTCTTTTATTATCTACCTTTCACCACCCCATAACTTGATGCTATGATTTATGAAACTAAAAGACATCATTTACTGACCAATTGCTTTCCCATTTTTATAAATTAGATACATATATAAATGCCAATCAGAGCTTCTGATCCATGATAATCGACCAGTATTTAGAGTTGATTTCATTCTAATCAAAATCAAAGAAGCATGACATTTCAGTCTTATACAGTCTCCATTAGCTAAATGTACAATTGTTTGACTATACTTCATTAGTTGTTTTGTTTTTTGATAATAAAAATAGTTTGCAAAATCTCAATACTACCTACAAAGTGATCCAAGTCTCTAAAAACAAAACAAAACAAAACAAAACAAAACAAAACAAAACAAAACAAAAACAAAGTGATCCAAGTCTAGGGTTGTGTGTTTATAAACCACTGATCTAATCCACTGATTTTCATCAGGGGGTGACTGTGCCCCCGTGGAGGACTTTGGGCAATGTCTGGAGACAGTTTTGGTTGTCACAACTTGGGGGGGGGTGCAGAATTGCAACTGGCATCTAGTTGGTAGAGGCCAGGGATGCTGCTAAAATACATACATTCTACAATATAGGGACAGACCCCCAGCAAGAATTGTTTGGCCCAAAATGTCAATAGTACCAAGGTTGAAAACTCTGGTCTAGTTTAGTCCCTCTATTGTATACATTAAAAAAATGAGACCCAGAGTTGTTAAATTCTTCCTTTTATTTCAGAAACCTTACTTTTTTGAGGGAGAGAGAGAGAGAGAGGGAGAGAGAGAGAGAGAGAATAAACACATGTGGGGGAGGGGCAAAGAGAGAGGAGAGAGAGAATCTTAAGTAGCTTCCACGCTCAGTGCAGAGCCCTACAGGGGGCTCGATGTGACAACTTTGAGATCATGACCTGAGCCAAAATCGAGAGGCAGAGGCTCAAATGAATGAGCCACCCAGGCACCCCTTGTTTAATTTTTAATTAGACAATGCATTCAAGGATTCCAAAAATAGTACATATATAAAGGTATTTAGGACTTGAACAGACATTTCACCAAAGATATACTAGTGGCCAATAAGCACATGAAAAGATGCTTAACATCATTAGTCATTAGGAAAATGCAAATCAAAACCACAATAAGAAGGTTTTTAAAAATTATTATTAGGATTACTAGAAAGGCTATAGTATAACTTTTTAAAAATTGAAAATAACAGGTGTTGGTGAGAATGTGTAGAAGTTGGGACTCTTGTACATTGCTTATGGGAATGTAAAATGGTGCATTATTGGAAAATGTTGAGTAGTTCTTCAAAAAGTTAAGCATAGAATTACCATATGACCCAACAATTCTTCTTGTAGGCCGATATCCAAAAGAATTTAAATACAGGTTCTCAAACAAATACTTGTGCATGGATGTCCATAGCAGTATTACCCATAATAGCTAAAAAGTAGAAATAACTCAAATGTCCATCAACAGATGCACGGATAAGCAAAATGAGGTTATAGATACACAGTGGAATATTACTCAGCTATTAAAAATAATAAAGCAGTGCTATGTGCTACAATGTGCATACCTTGAAAATATTATAGGAAGTGAAAGAAGCCAGATACAAAAGGTTGCATACTGAATTATACCATTTACTTGTATAAGTTTATTTATTTTGAGAAAGAGCATGATTGGGGTAGAGGCAGAAAGAGAGGAAGAGAGAATCCCAAGCAGGCCCTTGTGCTGTCAGCAGGGAGCCTGACTCAGGGCTCAATGCAGAGCTTAAACTCATGAACCATGAGATCATGACCTGAGCCATATCAGCAGTCAGATGCCCAGCCAACTAAGCCATCCAGGTGCCCCTATGTGATTCCATTTATATGAAACATGGAAACTAGGTAAATCTAGAGAGACAGAAAGCAGATTGGTGGTTGCCAGTGCCTAGGGGGAGGGAGAAATAAGAGGTGACCACTTAATGGGTACAGGATTTTCTTTTGAGGTATTGAAAATGTTTTGGAACTAGATAGAGGTGGTGATTGCAACAACTTTGTGAATATACTAAATGCCACTGAACTGTATAATTTAAAATAGTAAATTTCATGTTATGTGAATATCAGCTTAATAAAAGGAAGTTAAATATATATATAGTGAATATATATATATATATATATATATATATATATATATATATATATAGTGAAAAGCTTATCTTTGTCTGTTTTCAGCCGAGTTCCTACCCATAGGTAACCAGTTTTCTTAGTATCTGAGGAATCTTCCAGTATATTGATGCACAAAGAAACAAATGGATAGATTATCTCCCTCTTTTCTTTCATACAGAGGTAGCACATTATATAAGTTATTCTATGCAGGATTTTCTCAGCAATTTACCTCTGACATGGACACTCTTGAACATCACAGGCCAGTTTATTTAGTGAAATGTTCCTAAAACTGGTTCCTCTGATATTTCCTGGTGATTAGATTCTGATTGTGTGTCTTTTGTAAGAATAGCACAAAAGTGCATCTTCTCATTGCATCTTATCAGGTGGCACACTATTTTGATTTGTCCCATGGCTAACAATGGTCATTTGATCATTGGATTAAAGTGGTACCTGAAAGGCTTTTACCATAAAAGCAATCAATCATAGAACATGTGCTATTAAATCTACTGTAAGTGTTTTCAAAAACATTTTCTGCTATCTTATATATTGACTTTTTTTATATAACATCATGTATATAAATAACTTTTATGTGTCAACTCAGATTTTCTCAGTGTTGTCTGTGTCTGGGGTCCTGTCTCTATAGTTACAGACTACTTCATGAGGTCCCAGGTTCCTCCACCTGTGGCTCCTCCCATCACGCTAAACTGAAGCCGGGGAGTTGATTTCCTCAGCTCCGCTCTGCCAGGAGATAAGATTGAAGTGGTAGGTAAATTCCCCCTCAGTGCCTCCCTTTGTTGAACTGTTTCAAAGCATAATATTTCTTTTTTTTTTTTTTTTAAATTTTTTTTTTCAACGTTTATTTATTTTTGGGACAGAGAGAGACAGAGCATGAATGGGGGAGGGGCAGAGAGAGAGGGAGACACAGAATCGGAAACAGGCTCCAGGCTCTGAGCCGTCAGCCCAGAGCCTGACATGGGGCTCGAACTCACAGACCGCGAGATCGTGACCTGGCTGAGGTCGGACGCTTAACCGACTGCGCCACCCAGGCGCCCCAAAGCATAATATTTCAATAAACTTGTCCAGAGACAGCCTGCATGGCCAACCGCGAGTTTCTGTGAAGGAGCTGTGGCCAGCTCATTAATGTAAAAAAACCTAGCATCTGTTTCTCCTTCCGCGTCTTACCTTTTTTCTTTTATGCTTACTGCCCTGGGATTGTGCCTGCCAATAAGGCATTCACACTTAAATTTTTTCTTGGGGTCCATTTACAAGGATCATGGGCCTGACACCATGGGAGAAACTTCTTTTCAACCAGAGTAATGGAAACAAGTGTGCTTTTCCTGAATTATTTTTTTTTAAATATTATGGAAATTGGATTATGTAACCAATAATATTTCTCTTTGCTAGGACGCCATAAAGTTTAGAGACAAATGTACAGCCCATCTCTAGCCAGTGCATAAGGCAATATGGTGTAAATGTCTGTATTCCAATCTTTTTTTTTTTTAAGTTTATTTATTTTGAGAGAGTACGCACACACGTGCGAGTAGGGAAGGGTCAGAGAGGGAGAGAGAACATCCCAAGCAGGCTCCGTGCTGTCAGCACAGAGCCCAAGGCGGGCTCAATCTCACAAACCTTGAGATTATGATCTGAGCTGAAATCAAGAGTCAGAGGCTCAACCCCCTGGGCCACATCCAAAGTCTTACCGATTACTACAAATGCCTCCATACACATTTAAACCTCAATTCCAACTCCATTTTCTTAAGGCCGCAAAAACAAAAAGACAAAAAAAAAAAACCCAAAAACAAAAACAAAACCCATCAATGCTCAAAGGTTTACTCTCCAAGAACCGCATTTAGTATTTCAGATCAGAGAAAGGTAAAAGTCTGCATCTGGAAAAAACAAATGAGATTATGATCAATACTGTTACATCAGAAGGATAAAAGACTGCGACTGCGTCGGGTTTCTGGTGGCAATGCAAAAGAAATAGATCTATAGGGAGGCCACCACACCATATTCTAGACTCAATTTGACCTCATCTTAACTATATTCTGTACTTCACTTTCTTTGGTGAGTTTCACCTTGGTCTAGTCTTGCTTCTCGCATTCCCTTTAAAGTGGGTTGAAATGAGCATTACAGAACAGAGAAGGAGACTGTGGCAGAGGGGCGCCCAAATCACAGAATCTGTGGGAAAGCGAACACGAAACTCAAGAGCCCAAACCCCGTTCTCACAGCTGTGAAAGGACAAGCTGGTGAGAAATCACGTCCGCTCTACAGAGTACACAGCATTTCTCAGTGGAACTCATAAGGCAGGTGAGCAAAGGAGAAACCCCCGCCCGCCTCACTGGAGAGTTTCCCTAGCAAGGGCCCTGGAGCAAGGGGGGCTACAGAAGTTTCCCACAGGGCTGTGCGCGGCGCGGAAGGCTCAAACACTCACGCTACCGCTGGTTGCCAGGGGACACTTCACAGCCACCTCCTCCAATCAGGACTCATCTCTCTGTGCCCAATCACAGAAGCCAAGAGAGCTGTAGTCGGAGGTGAAAGGTCACGCTGCTGTTTGGCGGCCATTTCTCTGGAGGCTCCGCGATTCGCGCCCAACTGTAGCTACTCCAGTCACGAGGGACGGACGACAGCTGGGTCGGCGGCGAGTGGCCTGCAGCATTTGCTTATAGTCGCGATGGTAAGCAGGAAGAAAGCGACCGGAGTCGAAGAGCCAAGGGAGAGCGGGTGACCGGCCTCGCCGGGCCCGGGGCTTGGTTCGCTCGGTTCCCATTCATCCGCGTGGGGAGCCGCGCACCCGGTCGCCTGCCTCTTTCTCCCTGCTCTGCGAATCTGAGGCGCGCGCTCTCCTTCCGATGCCCTTCCCTCCCCAGAAGTGCCCCTGACCCCATGCCCCTGTTCGTTTGAATGTGAGCCTGAGGTACCTTGCTGTCTGGGACCACAGGGTCGAGGTAAAGATGAAGCGGTCTTTATGCCCCACTTATCCCACTCCAAAATCGGCTTTAATTTCCATCATGTTGGGATTCCTGGCCCTGCAGCCCACTGGAACGCAGAGTGCAGGCTTTGGAGCATTCATTTGTTTAGCAAAAAAAATTTTGAGCGCTCGCTACCCGATACTTACTGTTCTAGGCGCTAGAGTATAAGGTGAAAAGTACTGAGGCGGACCCTGCCCTAGCTTTACTCAGTCGGGTGTGAGAGACTTTAATCAAATAACATAAACATGTAATTACAAATAATGTGAAGTACTGAGAAGAGAGCAAACAGGATGCTGAGAGGGTGCAAGATGGTACATTAGAAGACAGGTCAGGGATGGCATCCCTGGTAAGATTTAACTAACTAAATAGGAAATAGGAAATCCAGCCCCTTAAAGAGGAAACGTGTAGGAAGCACGGGGAACACGAGCATATGGGCCCCAAGGCTGGAAAGAAAGCTTGACCAGTTGGAAAAATTGGCCGAAAGCTACACCGCTTGAACAACATGGTTGTGAGATAGGATGGGGAAGACCCTTAGGTGGTGGTAAGAGGTCTGGATTCTACTTCAAGTGCAATTGAAAGCCATGGAAGCATTTTAAGTAGAGATATCACATGATAAAGATAATACTTATGTGCATAAGTTGGAGAAAGACCAGAGTGAAAACTGGAAACCCATTAGGAGGTTATTGCAGTAGCTCCCATGTTCTTTGAGATTACACTGCATATGCTTATCTTAGAGGGGTTTAGTAGCCAAGTTCCTTGGTTCTTTTCTTTCTTTGGGCTGATGGGTGAGCAGATGAGAGAAGGAAAAATCTGAATTCACTGGGAGATACTACTACTGGTTTGTTGAATAAAAACTGTTGATTGCCCATATGTAGCCCGGAGGCTTTACTAAGTCAAATAAGACCCAGCAGACCACCTAGCTCCTGGATTCAAGTGAAAGACTGAAATGTCATCTGCCCCCTCCTTACCTCTGTAGCCTCCTATTTGGGACTCTGACATCACTGGATTGTTTGTCCCTGAGATTGACTTGTTGCTTCACTCTTTACTCCTTTTACATAGGTAGCCTCTTGTATCTAGAACAGCCCTTTCTCCCTCTAGGAATACCTCTCATCCTTTAGAACGGAAGCATTACTTTGGGCAACCTCTCCTTTTGACTTTGGATTGATTGGTACCCTTACACATGCTATCTCTTCTTACTATATTGCAGTGCAATACCTATTTGTATGTGTTTTGCCTCTCCCCCTCCCAGTGTGAGCTTCTTGAGGACAAGGACTATAGTCTACATTATTTTTTTGGCTGCCTTTGTTTTTTTATAGCCTGGAACAATGAGTGATGTAGAGTAGGTATTCATTGTTTAAGGGAATACTGAATGAAATTGCCTAACCGGGTATTTAAATTTCTCATATGCTCTTCAACAAATAAAAGTGAAAATTAATGCAGTAAGTGAGAGTCAAGAGCTTGCTTTATTTCGATACCATAAAATATTGGTGATTTTGGTAGAGGGGAGTAAGTAATGAAAACTGAGCTAAGGAAAAATAACCGATTGAGATCTTTTTTTATTCTTTGTGCAGAGTTTGCCCCTCAATCCCAAACCTTTCCTGAATGGATTAACAGGAAAGCCAGTAATGGTGAAACTTAAGTGGGGAATGGAGTACAAAGGCTACCTGGTATCTGTAGATGGCTATATGAACATGCAGGTAAGCTAAGGAGATAAAGAATCATTAAATTATATTTATTTTGGGCGCCTGGGTGGCGCAGTTGGTTAAGTGTCCGACTTCAGCCAGGTCACGATCTCGCGGTCCGTGAGTTCGAGCCCCGCGTCGGGCTCTGGGCTGATGGCTCAGAGCCTGGAGCCTGTTTCCGATTCTGTGTCTCCCTCTCTCTCTGCCCCTCCCCCGTTCATGCTCTGTCTCTCTCTGTCCCAAAAATAAATAAACGTTGAAAAAAAATTAAAAAAAAAAATTATATTTATTTTGCTTTACCTTAACTCCTCAAGGGCTTATAAAAATACAGTCAACTAAATTGATAAACATAAAACAAAATTCAAGAAAAAAAGTCAAGGTCAAGAAGGCTGTTATAATTGTGATAAACTGTGTACAAGACCTGTTAAACCAAAATTCAGCCATAGAATTGACTTCTGTGGTTAAAATAAAAAGAACTCAGATACTTGATTCATAGTGGTATAAAGGAAACACAAATGGTTTTTTGTTTTTTGGGGGGGTTTCGTTTTTGCAGAACAAACAAAACTCTCCAAGCATTTAGCTCTGAAAGACATTTTTCAAGTGACATTTTAAAGTCTTTTAATGAATGCTAAAGACACAAAATCAAAGTAATTCAATAAAAGTATTTCTTGAGGGAGAAGATAGGCCAAGCCAAAGGAATTGTTGAACTGACTGCATGTGTGTTAAGCTAGCTTCTGTAAATGTTTAGGACAGGATTTTTTTGTTTTTGTAATTGAGGTAAAACATATGTAACGTAAAATTTACCATTTTAACCATTTTCAAGTATAGAACTCCGTGACATTGAGTACATTCACATTATGGTGCATCCATCACCATTATTCATTTCTAAAACTCTTATATCATCCCCAACTGAAACTATACCCATTAAAAGATAACTCCCCATTTCCTCTAACCCCTGGTAAACATTATTCTTTCTGTTTTCATTCTGGTACCTCACATAAATAGAATCCTACAACATTTGTCCTTTTGTATCTGGCTTATTTCATTTAGCATAATGTTTTCGAGGTTCATCCATGTTGTAGCATTTATCAGAGTTTCATTCCTTTTTGTGACTGAAATAATATTCCATTGTATGTATATACCACATGTTAATCCATTCTCTTGGTGGACATTTGAATTGTTTCCACCTTTTGGCCTTTGTAGTACAATGAACATGGTTATATAAATATCTGTTAGAGGTTCTGCTTTCACTTCTTTTGGATATGTATCCAGAAGTGGAATGATTGTATATAAAGTAATGCTTTGTTTAATTTTTTGAGAAACTGCCATACTATTTTCTATTAGCAAAACATAAAGGATCAATTTCTCCACATCCTCACCAATATTTGTTACTTTCTGTTTTGATAATGGCTATTCTAAAGAGCGTAAAATATCTCATTGTTTTGATCATCATTTCCCTGATGATTAGTGATATTGTGATCTTTGTGTGCTTATGGCAATTTATACTCCTTTTGGAGAAATGCTTGTTCATGCCCTTTGCCCATTTAAAAACTGGGGTGTTTTGTTTCTTTGTTACTTTTGTTTCTTTGTTACTTTGTAGTAGTTTACGGCCAGGTTTTTGATGAAAGAGTTTGAAATTATATTTCCCTGAAGCATAGGTATTTATGTGACTGATTAATGGCAGATGGATTTTAAAGGTACTTGGTCAGTCCAATCATGACTCTAAGTATTCCAAACTGGTACTTCTTGTAGGAAGAGTATTAACAGGGGCACCTGTAGGCAAAAAGAGCTGAGATTTTCCTTAATTCAAGAGGTTACCACTTGAACAGATGATACTTAGGTCCCCAAAGTTCTTGTAGAGCATGGTTTTGGCCTGGATAATTCCTCAAGCAGGAATCATTTACCAAGGCCATAGAAAAATCTGAAGAGTGGGGGGCGCCTGGGTGGCGCAGTTGGTTAAGCGTCCGACTTCAGCCAGGTCACGATCTCACGGTCCGTGAGTTCGAGCCCCGCGTCGGGCTCTGGGCTGATGGCTCAGAGCCTGGAGCCTGTTTCTGATTCTGTGTCTCCCTCTCTCTCTGCCCCTCCCCCGTTCATGCTCTGTCTCTCTCTGTCCCAAAAAAATAAATAAACGTTAAAAAAAAAAAAAAAAAGAAAAATCTGAAGAGTAATACCAGTCTGTTGAAATGTTCCAGACTTAAATAGTGGTAGTGATTACACAACTTTATGAATATATTAAAAACCACTGGGGGCACCTGGGTGATTCAGTACCGGTCACAATCTTAGGGTTTTTGAGTTTGAGCCCTACATTGAGCTCTCAGCACAGAGCCCACTTTGAAGCCTCTGTCTCCCTCTCTCTCTGCCCCTTCCCACTGTCAAAAAATAAACATTTAAAAAAAATTCGGGGTGGGGGGAAAAACCCACTGACTTGTATCCTGTAAAAGTGAATTTTATGCTGTGGGCATATATCTCAATAAAAGAAAGAAGTAAAGAATACCCACAGAATATTTGGTTTTAGAAGTAATGTAGTTCCTAGTGAGCCTACCAGAGTTGTGAAGTGTATCTGAATAATTACAACCACGTTAATGAGGCTTTTGAGTTTGTTTATTGAATGAAAATTTATTGACTGCCCATTACGTGCCTGGCTGTGTGAATATACCAATGAACAAAACAAAGTCCCTACTTTGAAGGAGTTTGTGTTAGTAGTGGGAGATGGTAATATAATGTGATATCAGGTAATGATAGATGCTATGGAGAAACAGAAAGCAGAAACATAGTGTGCAGTGTTAGATAGAGAGCCAGGGAAAGCTCTGAGGAAGTAAATTTAATCCGAAAACAGAATTGAGTGAGGAACTGAAGAGAGTATCTGAAGAAAAAGCATCTCAGTTTGAGGGAACAGCAAGTACCTGGGCTTTGTGGCAGGAACTTGTTTGGTGTGTTTCGGGCATGGCAAGAAATCCAAAGCAGAATGACTTAGAATGATAGAAGAATGGGATGGTAGTCATAGAGGACTTTTTACGTGATTGTGATTTGTAAAAGTTACAAATAAAGTTTTTTACCTATATGTGGAAGGAAACCTAAACTTTTTGACGTAAAGTTAGAAATAATAGTTTCCTGAAATAACTATAAATTATGGTTACTCTGAATTGTTTAACTTTCTCTTAAGAACTTATTTCTGTTTATTAGCATATAATTTTTTAAAATTCTTACTCAGTTCTTTGGTTTGGTTGTTGACTAATATAAAAGTATTAGATATTTTAGCTATAGATTTTGTACCCATTGGGTTCTTCAATGTGCTATGGTGTTATTACTCAGTTAATACCTGGTTCCTTAGAACTGAATTTTTGGAAAGCATTTAAATCACAACTTATTCATAAATTGGAGACTGTCTTCCTTGAAATGCTGTTTTAATGTCTAATACAAAGGAGTGTTACATAACTGAGAGATTTAAAAACTTACATTGAAACAAGCTTTATTATATATTCTATATCCATCGATGTTAACTTTACTGAATGTTTATATGAAACCCAAAAGTACTACAGTGGTAAAAGAAAGCTAATATCCTGTTAATTATAGGTAAATGTGAGTTGTTGGTATAGAAAGGTTTCAGTTAATAAGTTGTCTCACCAGTATTACCTAACATTTTAGGTAGTGTTACACTATTTTTCTCCTGTATTATTATACTAATATGCTTTCTTTTTATTTAAAGCTTGCAAACACAGAAGAATACATAGATGGAGCATTGTCTGGACATTTGGGTGAAGTTTTAATAAGGTAACAAGAATAGTAGTATATGTAAGGAGTTACTAGTGAGCACTAGAAATCCCTGTTTTAAATTAGTGTCTCAATTTCAGAATTACTTTCTTTAAGTCACTATTAACATAATATTCTACAGTTAGACTTAAAGAGTTTTGAAACCCTTAAACTTGTCAAAGAAGATGGAAATTTTTTGGAGTTATCCTTAAGATTTTTCTAGTGTTGATACTAAACTTTCTAGCTCTTGGTGTAACCTTTTTCAGTGGTTTAGGTGGAAGAGCTTGGTTTTGAATTTTAGTTGGGTCTGGCTGCTATTAGGGATTTTCACTATATTCATTTTGAAATAGCTTCACACCTTCAAATTTGAATCATTACCTTTGGAAGATCATAAAGATACCATTTCATAATATCTACTTGGTAAATAAGTGCCATGTGCTTTTGCAAAACTTTTTTTTTTAAAAAGAAAGAAATGATGCATTGTAAATATTGTAAATATCTAACAATAGTAATTCAGATCTTAATGTAGTTTCCGGTTGGAACAACAAAATGGACTGTTTTTCTATTTACAGGTGTAATAATGTCCTTTATATCAGGGGTGTTGAAGAAGAGGAAGAAGATGGGGAAATGAGAGAATAGCATCTTTTGTGGGGAATTTTTTTTATATATATTTCTAGACAATAAACTTTTTTTTTCAATTTGTCTTGTGAACTATTCCTATTCAGATATTTAAACGCAGAGCTCAAATGTTGAAATAGTTGAAAGATTATTCACAGAATTAATGCTTTAAAAGACACTCAACTTCATTCAAGTTGGTTTTCTTTTATAAGCTCAGTATTCTTTTTTTTTTTTTCTATAGGGAGAAAATTATATGCTTAATAAACACTTATGAAGGTGAATTTCAGTGCTTTTCTTGTAATACTATAGTAACAGACCTTTTAAAACAACTTTCTTTTAAAGTTATTGAACCACTTTTGTCATGTATAAAGTTAAATATTTCCTTAGAATTAATGTATACTGTTTCATTTTACTTAGTAGTCAACAAATTACCTGTTAATTTAAGTTTTAAACTCCTCAAAACCATTTAGATGTTTTAGAGTTATACACTGTTAAAATGTATACTCCACAGTGATAAAATGTACACTATGAACTGTGGACTGGTTGAAAACAAATTAGATCATTTAAAGTCCTAGATTGTCAGAGAATGCCATTATTGCACTTTAATGGTCATTCACCACATTGTTAACGCAATGTTAAAGGAATGTAACATAAAGTAATGTAAGTTAAAGTACACTTTGGATGTGTAGCTCCAACTGGGATAACCCAAAGATATAAATGTTTAGCTTATGGTATACTACTTAGGATATGGTAATAAAAGCCTTCAACAAAAGAAAATAACTCCCATTGCCAATCCTATAACCACGAGAATAAGTGCCTGTCTTCCTTAAATTGGTTAGGCCAGCATATGGGGCAGAATATTGCCATTACTGAAAACCAAAATCTAAAAAATGCCTAAAACATTCTGGCAGTAAATGTCTTAGTGCACCTATTCAAGTGAAAAAATATTCTTCCTCTAGTGATTTTGTTCGTGTATCCTTGACCAAAAGTAGTTCATGTTTGTTACCAGATGGAGGTTTTGAACGATAGGTAAGTCTTCTTCCCAGCTGAAACAAAAGAAACAATACTTACTATTTTTCATCATAACTATTTTCTATTGAATTATAAGTAAAATAATAACATTCACTTGATTTTTCCCAGGAATTACATGGCTCAAAATAGTAAAAAAAAAAAAAAAAATCAGTTACAAAGGGATTGATAACCTAATGGGTGTCCAACATGCTAGGCAAAATTACATAATAAATAGAGCACCATAGTGTGCAAGAGACAGAGCAGTTAGGTTTTATGCGAAGTTGGGTGATTTAGGTAAAGTCATCAAAAAGCATGTTTCACAATCAGCAAAACTAAAAGGCCACCAATGGAATGGGAGAAGATATTTGCAAGTGACATATCAGATAAAGGGTTAGTATCCAAAATCTATAAAGAACTTCTCAAACTCAACACCCAAAAAAACAAATAATCCAGTGAAGAAATGGGCAAAAGACATGAATAGACACTTCTCTAAAGAAGACATCTAGATGGCCAACCGACACATGAAAAAATGCTCAACATGACTTATCATCAAGGAAATACAAATCAAAACCATAATGAGATACCACTTCACACCTGTCAGAATGACTAACATTAACAACTCAGGCAACAACAGATGTTGGCAAGGATGCGGAGAAAGAGGATCTCTTTTGCACTGCTGGTGGGAATGCAAACTGGTGCAGCCACTCTGGAAAAGAGTACGGAGTTTCCTCAAAAAATTAAAAATAGAACTACCCTATAACCCAGCAATTGCACTACTAGGTATTTATCCAAGGGATACAGGTATATGCTGTTTCAAAGGGGCACATGCACCCCAAGGTTTATAGCAGCACTATCAACATAGCCAAAGTATGGAAAGAGCCCAAGTGTTCATTGATGGATGAAGATGTGGTATATATATATATATATATATACAATGGAGTATTACTCAGCAATCAAAAAAAATCTTGGGGTGCCTGCGTGGCTCAGTCAGTTACGCATCCGACTTCAGCTCAGGTCATGATCTCGCGGTTCGTGAGTTTGAGCCCTGCGTTGGGCACTGTGCTGACAGCTCAGAGCCTGGAGCCTACTTCAGATTCTGTGTGTCCCTCTCTCTCTCTGACCCTCCCCTGCTCTCACTGTCTTTCAAAAATAAATAAACATTAAAAAAAATTTTTTTTTAATGAAATCTTGCCATTTGCAACTACATGGATGGAACTAGAGGGTATTATGCTAAGCGAAATCAAAGACAAATATATGACTTCACTCATATGAGGACTTTAATGTACAAAACATGAACATAAGGGAAGGGAAGCAAAAATAATACAAAAACAGGGAGGGGGACAAAAACAAAAGACTCTTAAATATGGAGAACAAACAGGGTTACTAGAGGGGTTGTGGGAGGGGGATGGGCTAAATGGGTAAGGGGTATTAAGGAATCCACTGAAACCATGTTGCACTATAAGCTAACTAACTGGAATGTAAATTAAAAAATAAAAACAAATTTTAATAATGAAAAAAATCATATGTTTCAGATAGGGCCAGCCTAGAAAAGCACCATATTTGAGGCCAACATTGCACTTCTCAGTAAGTACCATAGCCGGTTTCTCCCCCATTGGTTAGAAGAGATCACTTTTCTTGGCTGAATACCAATTGATTGGCATTTAAAAATCCTGTTAGATAAAAACGTGAGAAAACCATGTACATCTTCTTAAACATTAGTAATCCTGTCGGCTCTTAGATAAACCTTACAAATGTGAGGAGTGTGGGAAGGGCTTCTGTCGGTGTTCCACCAGGAGAAGCTTAGGGAAACCTTCGGTTTGTACCTATTCATTCCTTCTAAGGCATTGACTCAAGTATATCAATTATTCTTCTCTTTTAGTCTCCTTTTTTCCTCCTTTATTTTGTTTTGCTTCTATATCTGAATTTGTAAGTTAACTGGATGAGAAAACTTCTATTGAAGATGAGATTTGATGGGACATCTCCAGTGTCTCAAAAGGGGCACTAACCCTATGTAAGACTGCCTCCTGCATCGCAGAATTTGACATTCCTGGCCCAAGGTAACTAACGAGGGCAGTCCTCCCCATCATTTTATCAACCAAAGTGTTCTTAGGGTCTAGAATCCCAGAATTCCTCGTAACATCAACTTTTTTCTCTGTCCAATTTCTTTTGGTAACCTTTGTCTTTAATACTGAGCAAATTGCCAGTGATGAAGTGCCCTGACTGGGTAAGAACTATCAGAGGTCTTTGTACATTATCAACTTATCAGATTGCTATTGTTTTTCCATTTTTCTAGTTTTAGTTCTCTCATTTTTAGCCTGTTAATTCAATTCAATAAGCATTTATTGAGTATCCACTATGTGCTAAGCTTTGGGGGTACAAAGTCATAAAAATTCACAGTTTGGGGTGCCTGGTGGCTCAGTCAGTTAAGCCTCATTGATTTTGGCTCAGGTCATGATCTCAGGCCAGTTGTTGAGATTGAGCCCCATGTTGGGCTTCACACTGACAGTGAGAAGCCTGCTTGGGATTCTCTCTCTCCCTCTGCCTGCACCCCACTCATGCATGCGTGCTCTCTCTCCCAAAGTAAAAAAACCCTAAAGACTCACGGTCTAGAAGGAAAGATGGATATATTAAGAATAATCATTTCAGGGGCGCCTGGGTGGCGCAGTTGGTTAAGCGTCCGACTTCAGCCAGGTCACGATCTCGCGGTCCGTGAGTTTGAGCCCCGCGTCAGGCTCTGGGCTGATGGCTCAGAGCCTGGAGCCTGTTTCCGATTCTGTGTCTCCCTCTCTCTCTGCCCCTCCCCCGTTCATGCTCTGTCTCTCTCTGTCCCAAAAATAAATAAACGTTGAAAAAAAAATTTTTTTTAAAAAGAATAATCATTTCAATGTGATGGGTTTAGTGAATAGTGTGTATATGTGGATGGGTGATGAATGGTAAATTCTCCTTTGGGAGAAAGAGGACAAGTCAGGTCTTCATAGGAAAAGCTAAACTAGAGAAGTCAGACCCTTTTAAAGATGAAATGCTTATTTAAAGTAATTTAAGATCATCACTTTTTGACATATATATTAACAGTTACCACACTTCAATTTTTTCAAGTACTTCGCTCAAAAGACTGGTTGTGAGGCACACAATAAACCTTCCCTGTAGGTTAGAGTGGTAAGAAGTGGTAAGGTTACTGTGGTAAGAATCAATGTCCATGGTAGCTTTGCAGATAACCATGGAATTGGCTTCTCCGAATATATTTCAGACCCTAACCCGAGGAAGGAGAGTAGCAGATAGAAACACAAGGCCCTCCATACCCAGTGTGAAGTCATGGACCACATGGACTCAGTGACTGCCCAATCCCATACTTATTATTGGACAGGTGATCTTGCAATATAAAGAGCCTTGACTTCTGGTCCGGAATCTGCTGCTAAATCTGAAGCGACTCTGGGTAAATCATTTTAACTTAAACTATTAATCTATTTTTACAATATGAAGATGAGAAGACCCATCCAATTATATGTAATTCTCTGGGTTTGCCGTCTTTGTTGTTGAATGAAAGAAGCAAGGTTCATGGTTACTATTTGTAAGAAGGAGAATATATACAATAACTACATAGAACATTTCCAGAAAGATGCAGATGAAACTTAGGTGGTTGCATCCAGGGAGGGGAACTGAAAATGACTTACTTTTCACTAAATACTCTTCTATCTTTTGAACTTTGAGCCATATGCTTGTTACTATCTAAAAAAATTATTTAAAGAAAAAATTCTCTGGTTTCATGAACCTGGAGCTAAAAGAAGTGAGGCGAAAGGTTTTTACTAAAAAGTGGGTCTAATGGAGAATCGTAGACCCAGATATTTGAATTATCCTAAAAGTAACAAGGAATCAGAGACCAACTGAAGCTGTGACCAGGAAAGACTATTTTGCTAAAGTTCACCCTTGATAAATTAGCTGAATTAGGTATTTCACAGAAGCATTCACATATTAGATGTAGCTGGACCTACTAATAACAAAACACAAACCTTTTTCTTTGGTTGTGCCACTGCCCTTTCCAGAGCAGCTTTGAGCCTTTCCTCTTGGTGTCTTTGTTTTTCTTTCATTTTATCTTCACGTAACCTGTCAAAAAAGGAAAATATTTTTGCAACTATAAATCACAAAAAGTAGAAAAAAGACCTATAGTATTTGGTAATGAACTACCTAAATATTTTATGATTTCCCTTAAAGTTAAATAATACTTTACCTTCACTCATACTATGGCTTTTGAATATTCAGGGGAAATGTCAAC